CCCCAAAACCCCAAAACCCCTTCAATATTAAAAATTGATGAAATTGAAAATGCAAAAGCAAGATATAACATTTTTATTCTTCAATTTTTGTTATTTTTGCTTAAATCTGAGCTACTCTCTTGACCATATTCCTTTTTAAATTACTTTGTGTAAAAATTATAAAACATCTTGTTTCTTCTTGTCTCTCCAATTGCAATCAAAAGCCAATACTAGAAGTAATGAGAAATCGAACCGAATGTTGATATTTCTTTTCCAAGATCTCTTAGGGCACAGGCAGATGCATACTCAGAGGAATTAATTAAAGAATTTGGCTTCGTTTTAACCAAATTGCTTGAGACACCAAATGGTTCAAAAGTCATCACATCGACTTTATTAGTTTAACTGAGTTCATAATGAATGCCCCTGGCCAAGAAAGAGGTTAATCTTTTGGAAAAACAATAGTCAATGTTGCCAGGCGAGTATAATACTCCTAATGAACTTGATGTATAAAGTAATGCACTCTTCTTATCTCTATTTTAAATTTAAGGTAGCATTGCCTTAGTCATATATATGCAATGAAGGGCATTCAAGTTTACTGCCTCTTCAACTTCGATATTTTCTTTTGCATCAAATCTCTCTGGCTTTCCGTATCCAGCATTAAGCAAAAGCATAGCAACATCATATTGCTTTAACCTCTAGGCAATTCTCTCATAATCATTGTAATGAGACAATTTTGAAAAATCTGCTAATATGTAATATGTATCAATCTTCTAGTACTACTTCTTAAGTTCATTTAGTTTTTCAGTCATCTTAGATTCACTTCTTCCGATCATTAGAATATTAAAGCCTTATTTTGCCAAGTGATGGCAAAAAGCGAGACCTATTCCATCAGAGCCTCCAGTGATAGCAACCCAAGAGATGTTCTTTCCATCTTTTACAATTCCATAGTTCTAGTAATGATCTTATTCTCTTCTCAAGAAATGCTAATTAAACAATCTCATAAAGTTAAGAATTTGTTTAATTACGGAAGCAAGTCCCACTATAAAACATAACTAGATCATCATTTTATAAATTTAAGGCTAAGATAATATATTTAATAAATAACTCATATCTATGAATATAGATTTCTATTCCTTCAGCTTGGGGTTTTGGGGTTTTGGGGTTTTGGGG